CCTCCCACCCTTTCCATCGGCTCATTCTAGCCGATCCAGCAGAATAGCCCCGATGCTGGAGTAATGTCCTGACCCTGAACAAAAGAAAATCAGGTGACCCTATTGAGATCCAATACACACACAATTCATCCATCATTCTCAGTCAATGTGGAGTGGGAGGTAAATAAGGATGTGGCTGAGCTGCTGCATTTATTTTTTTATTTATCTTTAAATGGGGAAACCTTGGTCTGTTTGATTACATGTAACATATAGTGGCTACGGAACAAAGCAGTGGTGGCAGCTAACAATTCCCTCATCACCTGCTGCCTCCCACATGCCTTTATTCCCTTCCAATTGTATTTCTGTCACTCCGGCATCCAGCGTTTCCTGGCTTTCACTTTTCATTCCACCTCACTCTTTCCTCACCCTTCGACCGAACACACCTCCTCTTCCATTTTCCGCGTGTAATGCATCATCTTTTGGATGAGACTCCTCCTGCCTCCGAGCCTTCACACATTTCACCGAACCTGTGCCTCTACCCTTCCTCCCATCTTCGCCCCCCCCCTCTTGAAATGATTCCCAGAGGGCTCAAGGAGAGAATGTCGCGGCGCTATGCCTGCCATCTTCGGAAATCACTCTGACCTTTCATACTTGCTGAGGTCACAGTCATCTGATCCAGCACGCACGCAGGTCCAAGGATGTCTACGCCGGCCAAAGATGGACCGATGCAGCGGCAACAGAGCAGAAATAAGCCGGCATCAATCACACACAATTAGTCCCAATTGATGCCTGGGAGGGTGGAGCTCCACTGCTCTGCCAGGCTGGCAATGGCTGGTAAACCCAATATTAGTCATTCAGATGACTGCTGAGTATTACTTTTCAGTATTACTGATTCAGTAATCATATGATATACGAGGGGTTTAATAATGAATAGTGACTTAATTAGGTTGCGCTCAATTTAACAGTAAACAGAGATATAAAGACCTAGCTCGATGTAGCAGGTTGTTAAAATAGATGGCTTATCAATGGAAGTAGAGGAATAGTGAATATTTGTCATTTTTCAATCCACAGATTGCCCTTGCCTCACCTTAAAAGAAAGAAAGGAATTGTTGACACTGCAGCGACTCAAATGCCGGACAGATACTTGATCGTGCCTCAAATTCCTAAAATCCTAAATGGTTTTGGAAAGTCTCAGAGGGGTTAAGATAGATAGAGGTTAGACTACTAAAACGCCAGGTAATTATCAAGAGAACATTGAGGTTTTAGAAGTGGAAGCCTCCATAAAAATGCACCTCTTACAGGACATAGAAGCAGAATCTTCCACATGAAAAATTATTGTGAGGCATGCCACTTGTAGAAAGGCTTTGCTACTTGCAAACTTTGCGTAGCATACTCATGTGCTCACTCTAAGCTCATCCAGAAGCCTCCTCTCGCCCCAAGCTGCATTTGAGGGATTGGAGAAAAAAACTCCATCATGGCGGAGAGGGAAGATTTTAGGGTCATGGGAGAAGAGAGGACGCGGGGAAGCATAAGCTCGCGTGATGAAAAACCCTCAGTGAGAGACTCAAGTGGAAGCAAAATCCTCTTGGTCAGAGCAAATTGAGGTGGAGAGACAGTTTGAACCCAAAAGATGTAGCTCATTTCAATACCTTACGACTCCATATCACAAACATGCAGAGACACGAGGACTACAAAGACTTACTGGAGAGAAGTCAAAAGAATCAGAGCTCCTTGTCAGCTCATAAGCTCCAGCCACCACAAACACACACGGGGGTCAATGAGGACGTTGGTATTAAGGCTGCAGTCGGTCGTCAAAGTACAAAACGCTGCCTATACCTTCCACCAACCTCAAACTTTGTCACTTTTACTTTGTGCTTCGCTGCATTAAAGCCTACCTCTACTCCTAAAATGTGTGCTACAGAATCAGATATGCTGGATTCAGATCAGAAGGGAACCTCTACAAAAAAAATAACTTTCACAAAAAGGTGTTCACACTTCTTCACAGCACTTATAACCTTTAAGATAAAGATAGAGAATAACGTAATGGTACATTTATTTTAGAGTGGAACTATATTAGGTTTTTGGTTTCAGCAACAGTTCACTGCTGTGAGAGGACCGGCTTTTAGTCACATTATCAGCGCCAGAAAAACTGCATTTTAGCTTAAATACTCAATACTTTATCCCAAACTAACGCTTCAAGCATCATGGTGGAAAAGGTCAGCAGTACATTTGAGTTACACATGACATTAGAGGTTTTTCGGGGCAGAGAGGCATAATAATGCTACAATGGGCTGAATGTCTGCCAAGAGAAGAGTGGCCCTGGCAATTCTGACACGGTGAGGCATCAAACTAAACTACAGCCGCACAAACAGGACGATCCCACAGGTTACGCCGAGACTCTCTCAATCACTCCGCCGCTCTCCATCACTCTGCTGCTCTCCATCACTCTGCCTCTATTGTTCTGTACCTAGCCGTGCCCTCTCTCGGCTTGCTGCAGAATGGATGGAGGGAGAGGGAGGAGTGGGGAAGTAAATGAGATCCCGATGAGATGCCAAGGTGTGTTAGCGTTGAGGCGTGGGGAATGAGAAAAAGCGGCCTGGAGGGAGGGGGAGTGGTTAGATTGAGAGTGTGTGAGGTGCCGGTGCGGGATAGTGGACACACCATTTCTGCCTGCACGGAGCCCCCCCCCCCCCGGCCGTATTAGTGTTTGCTAAGTCAGCTCAGGATTCGAGAGGCGTGTACAGGAGAGGAGGAGAAGAGGGAAAAGAGGGAAGGATGACATATGAGAAGATAGTGGAAGAACAAAGGAAAACAGGAAGGCAGAAAGAAGAGTAAAGCACGAAGGATAAATAACTATATAGATGCAACCCACTAAAATACTGATAAGAAGGAGCACAGATGAACAAGAAGGGACATTTAAGCTAGTATATACAATAAAAACACTAAAGAACCACATAAAAGGCTGTAATGGGGGTTTGAACAGATACCACAATCCAAAGAAAATAGGCTAACACTTTTGCCGACACTTTTTAAATCACAGCTAGCATGGCTACAACAGAACACAGGTACACAGGAACATAAATTGCCTAATTGAAAATATATAATGCAAGAGAATTTGGAAAGAAGAGGCAAACTTCTCTCCAGTGTTTGGTCAATCTTCCAACTCCGTACCAACAGAAAGAAAGATTGCTGCCAATACCAGCCTTCAGGAGCACATTGCTTTCACAGCAATTAATCGCTGTTACAACAGCAATTAAACAAAAGCTAGCATCCAAATCCAACTACCCAGCATTCCAGGGAAGCAAATAAATCTGGCAATGAGTCCGCGTGTGTTGCATCTAATGCTCGAGAGGACATGCATGTACGCTTAAATGAAAACATGTGCGTGTCGGTCAATTAAAGAGTATAAATGTGTGCATTTAAATGAAAGAGTATATATGTGTGCGTGTGAGGGCTTATTCGTGCAACGAGTATCTGCACACACAGAAGGGCCTTAAGTGCCAGAAAATGTTACACCATGCATATGTGCAAAAGTGTGTATCTTTTATGAGAAAGCTCGCATGCAAGCGCAGCATATACGTGTCAAGCGAGTGTGTGTGTGCATTTGATCCTGAGTTGTGTGTACATTAATGTGCGTCAATGATGTACAGTATGGCTGTGAAGTGGGCCAAATGTACACACTCTGGAGTGCTTATAGCTTGTACAAGCATGCACCTGCCTGTGTGTGTATCCAAAATCCACTCGGCTCAACAGCACCTTGCCAATAAAAGTCCCTCTTTATAAAAAGAGCCTAGGGGTCTTATGTTCTTTTTCCACTTCACAATTTCAGAAAAGATTAGGCATACTTTCCTGACTTCACCTGAGCCAGCCGGTCAGAGGCACACAAATTCAATCAGCGCTGTGGCTTAGTTTCAAGCGAAACAAGTTATAGATTTGCGATATTTTGGGGACTTTAGTGCAGAAAGTATTTATCTGTGGCAATCGGCCAGGCTGGCGGTAGATTGCTGGACCACAGCAGCTCCCTCTCTCTGACACACTTCAGTGAAGATGCACAGGGGCAATTAAACAAGCCAGCAATTCAAATCCCACATCAGCATTTAATCTTGATAAAACCCCCTCAGTGAATAGTTCCCCTGCATTACTGTTGTGATAATGATTCTTAGTTTAATGCTGATGGAAAGACAAAGAGAGTAAGTGAGACCAATAAAACTGTGCTGAGAGATGGAGGAGAGTTGCATGCAGTGGGATAAGCATCAGCCTCTAATGCATGCTGTCGTCCTTGCCACAGAATCAGTGGCTGTCACAGGATGAAAAGACAAAGAAAACAGTTGCACAAAGAAGCCGTGATAAAAGCCCACCACACAATTTTAAATCTTGTGACAACAGACTTAGGATTTATTTCTCAGAAGGACGGTTGCCTGAAGGGAACTGACTTTTCCTTTCTGAATAAATCAGAAACTGCATATTGAAGCAGACAGGGGCTCTGCTATTTGGCCAAATGGATAAAACAACAGTTCTTGTCTTAAAAAAATACAATTTAATAAAATGCTTATTCCAAATCACTCTTAGTTTACAACGTGCAATGGAGTACATTTATAAATAATCAATTGTACGTATTTTTGATAAGTTATTGTACTGAAGTGTTTCTATAGTTTGTTATTTAAGCAATTCAGGGACAAAACAATCTAAATATACCATATTTGTTTACAACATTGTGTTATTCGGGGCTTAACGCGTTGAGTTCGCTGGACACAAATGCGTAAATCTGTCAGCTTTTTGAGACGCGTCTCTACACAATCAGGCGCAATATCTCCTTCAAATTATCGGTGTTTTTGAAAGCAAATTAAAGACTGTTCACATAACTATTCATGTCCTCTCATCAGCAGGCAGAATTCACCTGCTTCTCATCACAGGACAAACACCAAACTATCTCCTCCGCGGACATCTGTCCGTCGATAAGCACTGCCTGCTGCAACGAGCGATTCGGGTAAAAAAAACGAAACGACGATGTTTTCACATACCTTCCTCGGCGTGACAGTGTTCGTCTATGTTCAGCAATAATATCCAAAGCACCGAAATCAGCGTTTTACAGAGATCCATGTTTATGTGGCCAGTTCCGCGGGGCTCTTGTCATCTCTCTCCAGTCTGCGCGCAACGCACCGCAGCAGAGACGCACTCGGTGTTTGAATGGAGCGGATGCCGTCTGGGCAAATAGTGCAGGATCTGGAGAGCCACGCGGCTTATTTTATATCTCGGGGGAAGGTTTTACAGGCAAGATTGACAACTGGCGAGCTCAATGAAGTGGGATGTGCCGTTCAGGGTACCGGAGGAGCGACCTATCATGGAGCTGCAACCTGAAATCTCCGCGCCAGGTGTTTCCACTATCATCAACAGAGTGAAGCCCAGTTTCTACTGAATGTCCTTTTATAGGAACCGGAGGGGGCGTTGGAAAATCAGGCCCTGGAACTCCGTTAAGGAGTTTATTGACGATTATACTCCTCAGTTCATAAAGGGGGCAGCAAGTAGCCCCAAATTGAGTGCAATCATATCAATACATGGTTTGCACTGAGGTATAATTTGCGATATGAATGTAACAAAAAAGGGACATCACCACCACCAAAATCCAAAACAAATATAGGGGAAAATAACAAACTGATTTAATCCAGTAAAATGCAGATTTTGAATCATAATCAGTTGACGACAAATTCAATATGTTAATGTAATAGTAATTATGGTTTATATGAATACAAAATGAAAATAATCAGACATTAAAGCAGGTATATAGAAACTTTAAATGTACTATTGCTTGATCAGACAATATAATATGATTGTATCGTAAACACAGATATATGGTCATTGGTACCTCCTTGTGAAAAACAATAAAGCACTAGAGCGCTACCCTAACAGATAACCTAGGAACTTTATTAGGTCATTTTTCAAAAAGGGACACAACATGGAGCAATGCCAGATACTGCAGCAGGTGGTTTGCTCATCCTTTGACAACTCACAGCAACTCAAATAAAAGAGAATATCAAATGCAATAACACAAATTGAATACCAGAAACCACTTAATTTAAAGCACTTAGTCATGTTGGACTACATTTGTGATTTGTCTTTAAAAATTGAAACAAATGTGCTGCAGAAGGAACAAATTGTCCCCTGGACTTATTCTTCTACAAACAAAATTGCCAAATGAACTTGACTCAACATTAACAAAGATGATATAGAGACAAAGCAATATGACAATAGTTTTTTTAAGATGATCCTATGTCGTCATGCAAATAAATAAAAGTCTAAACCGAAACAAATAAAAAATATATCAATGGGGTTCCATGGAGGAAAACCCTTGTTCCTAATATCCTTTGACATGGATACATAACTTATACAAGCCAACATGGCCAAAAAATTCCCGCCTTATGCTGTAACACAGCAGAATTCAATCAGCATAATTGATATAGTTTAACATTGCACACTCTTTTCTTTTCACACCTACTCCACAGATTGACTCAAGACAATTTCTATAATGGAAATCACTTCCCCTCTCTGGAGACTATTGATTTGATGCGACTGAAGTGATGAGACGTTCATAGCATTCTGCACCGAGCAAATATTATCTACCGTGTTTGTTTGTGCTTGTTCAGATGGCAGTAGAGCAGAATGAATTGAAACAAGGAGGTGATGTTTTAAAGGTTGGAGTCATTGTAAAACATATACTACACTTAAAGCTGCCTTCTCTTTATCTCTCAATGCCACACACACACACTCTGAGATCATTGCCCAGAATTGATCATTCTCACAGTTTAGCTTGGAAAGCAATACAGTTTATTGCTGATTGGCAAGCAAGATACCGTTTTTTTGCAGAGGGAATCACTGATGTAAATACAGGTTGAATCTGTGATCAATTCTGTCTTTTCTGAGAGCCGAAAGGACAAGGCTGCAGGAGATTCAGATACAGATTGAGGATCTTGTCGACGAAGCTCATCAAGAACCTTAACACACTGTTCAGTAACGACCAGTGTCTTTAATTAAATTCAGTTGTATTCAGAAATGTGTTCTCATTCTCTCGTTTTGAAGAATAATTCAGGCTCAAGTGGCTGTACCAATTACAATTAGCCAATATCCTGTAATTATGTCCTCCAAAAAGTTCATTCATCAGTCTATTTATGTAGGAAATCAGCCTTCCTCTTTTAACTCAGATCTCTAAGTGAACCCTGAATGAAGAGTTCAGGTTTCATTCAGATTCCAGCTTTTGATGAAAGAGTTGAGTTGAAAGCTTAAGGCTGAGACTTCCTCAAAAACACAAACTGACCATAGAAATTGCTTTAATGATATTGAGCCTGCACTTGGCAGCTCTTCAATATGTACCGCCAGCCTCGGCTATTTAGCTACTTTTCAAACTTTAATGATGTGCTAATGAAAAGGCTAGTCAGCACACCCAATTTTCTCCTTAAGCAAGCCCTGAAAATGCCGGACATAAAATAGCTTTGTAATAAATGTGGTAAGTGCTCTTAATAGGGCACACACTCCTCCTCCTCTGCATGCAATGGTATGCACACACACACACACAACCCACCCACACACACACACACACACACACACACACACACACACACACACACACACACACACACACACACACACACACACACACACACACACACACACACACACACACACACACACACACACACACACACACACACACACACACACACACACACACACACACACACACACACAGATTATGGGCCATCAGCCTGACTGATCCTCCTCAGCGGGGGGGGGGCTGGTAGCCTGGGTTCTGGGAGCTGATGAACATGATCATCTGTCCTCCTCTGTGGTCATTACTCACTGAGGACAGAGGCCAGCGGCCCCACTCCCTCACTCTGCTCACCCCCCCCCCCCTCCCGGCCCATTATGTATCCTGCAACAGTCTCTTTTGGGCTCTTAGGCTCACATCACATATCCACCACCAGCGTATGTGGTTCATTTAAAAAATATATATTTGGCCATTGGTACAGTTACATTTAAAAAGCATCCATTTTCTCTGGTGAGCATTTGGGTGGTAAAACACCCAAAACACAAAAACAAAATCCATGTCTAAACGATATTTTCTCACTTCACTTCACTTCCTGACTGTGGCGAATAACCATAAGCCTATCCATTGCTTCTGATTTATTAATCATTAACAAAAGGTATGAAATACAGAGTTTTATCTATCCAAAAAAACGAAGCTGGGGAATAGTTTTTAAAAACCATCACTTCTTTAGGACTAAATAGTGCATTTGCCAGGGACTGTTTTTAACTGTGCATTAAATAGTGATAATTTCTCCCCGTAGGACAGTAATAATGAAACTATTTAAAAAAACTGCAGCCTGGTGGGGGGGCTATAAAGGAATATGTTAGCAGGTGCAACAGTTCGAGTCACTGATGTGTTTTTGAACAGTTGAGTTTTATGGCCCATAAGTTGTCTGAACTTCAGACTCAACTTGTTAGTTGTTAATTTCTCTGGAATTGTTAAAAAATAAGTAATAAAATAATATTGTCAGTCCTAAGTGATTAAGCAAAGCTCCTGCTCCATTTGACTTGATTGCTTTCCCGTTGCACACATACAACCTTTTTTCATTCCGCCCTTTTGCATGTGCCCACGCACAATGGCTAAATCTGCTGCAACGCCCCCCAGCCATGTGTTGTTTGCATTATTGATCAGGAACACAATGACCAGGAAAAACAGAAGATGTGAATCAAAGCCTGATGGTGTTCAGAGGGGGCGGGGGGGTTCAAGCAGTAGTTAGATCTCAATTCCTACACACGTCTCACACACATACTTGTTCATGCAGCTCAGTTGTGTGGGTCCATTACTATGTGACAATTTCATGCTGATGCTCTCCGCTGGCCCCAACTTCTCCTCCTCACTTACACATTAGAGAATGGAGGCGAGGAGAGGAGGCGAAGAGGGAGCAGAGTCACTCAACCTTTTCTCTTGCTCGGCCATTTCCGAGTCAACAGGAGAACGAGCGGGATACAAAGACATAATGGGAGAGAAAGTGTGTGCACGAATAGACTTGTTCACACTTACACAACTGTGACTGTTACATTCACAGTTTGAAAATGCTGTTTACAAAAACGACCTCAAACTGTGGTCACTTTCGTCGGGATATACACTGCCCCGCTTTATTTCTCTTTAAGTCAGCTGATAACAATACTGTATACCACAGCTTTTGTTTGGCAAATAGTGGGACAGTGACTGTGCTGAGAGTCAACCAGTTAAACCTCTGTTCTGGGAAGTCACAGTGTCAGAGAGGCCTATTAGACACTAATTAAGCTGGCTTTTTTACTTTCATGCCACATATACACACTTTGAACAGGCTCACATATTGTTTTCAATAAGCTACGGTTTTCACCATCCATATTTAAACAGATGAATCTGATCTATAGAGTTCTCAAAAGCTCACATCAATGAGAACACAGTGTGTCGATAGATTATGCTTATTTAAACCCAGGCCTACATATTGAGTTGAACGCACAGCATCTAAATATGTCACGCTGGACAAATAAAATGAATATCTGACTTGTTGGGAAAGGTTACAATCAGCATTCATCCTGTAACAAATGACTCAGCAGTGTTCACAGTGTCAATTGTATTTAGTCTTTAGTTATAACAGCTTTTATCTAACTCTCTGAGGAGAATGAACAGATCAAGAAAATGATGGAGGAGAAAGAAAGAAATAGAAAGTGGGTTGGAAACTGATTGAAAAAAGTGATTATTGCCTGTAATTGAATGTGTAATACTCTGGTTTATCTGGCAACTGGAACTAATGCTGACAGGAGTATCTTGCATGTTGAGAAGCCCTCTACTGTATCTGTCCTCTATGAAAAGCGTATTTTTGCGGACATGGTGTAAGTAAAATAATGAGGGTGAGCAGTTTAAGGTTTGCCCTCTGCTGCCCCTCTATTGTATCCTCCTCGTGCATTATGTCACAGGACTTTTTTTAACATCAATTGGGATTCAAGAGAAGTGTATGAGAAGAGAAAAAGGGATTTTGGTAGGAGGTGAGAAATGGAGGGAAGAAGGAGGAGAGAAGAGGAAGGAGGTGTTTGAGAGAGCGGATGTTTAATAACAGTAGCCTGTGAGTCCCTGATGTATTGTACCATAGCTGCGTTATTCCCAAGACAGGACCCTGCAAACGCTGCCAAGTGAAAAGGTGTTAATGTGTCTTTGAAAGAGATATACGCCTACACACATATACACTACTCACA